TTGTATAATGCGTGAGGCGCGGCGGGTGGTTGGTTGGTCAGGTTACGTGGCAATTTTGTTGCAAGTAGTTAATAATATGCTGGCATAAAAAAGTGAGGGTGAGTTGGTAGGTGTTCCTCAATTTTCATCTCTCGTTCTAATAAAATAGCTCTTTATATTATCTCTCCAGTCATTAACAATGACTAATCACATGATCTTATCAAAAATTCTGTCCCATTAAAGCTATAGTAATTTCAAATCAAGCACGACCACCGCCAACCGGCCACTCACGGTCCTCTGCGACTGCTAATCGGCTTTTCCTTGCCCCATTTCAATCTCGATCGACGTCCCTCAACTACTTTGTAATTCACATTAAAGAGAAAAATAAGGAGAAGTATACCTGTGCCTTGCGTCTCTCCGCCACAATCCGCTTTTCAGCGATGGCATCGGCGCCGCCACGCATTTCGTGCTTGTGAGATCTTGACCGATCCGTTGGTTGAAGGTCGGGTGGTCACTGTTGAGGGGATGGTGACGGCGGCTCTTTCTCGTCCCGTTATTGTCTTGTGTTTGGCTGCTTTGAAGGATATATCGAGTTTGAATGTGTCAGTTTTGGTTTGCCCTTGTCTTCTCGGAGTCAGTAGTTTCTAGATCTGCTATTTTTGGGCTTGGCAGTATTTTTCCCTGTGTCCGACTTTTATTTATTGCATAAGATGGTGGCGTTGCCGAAACTTGTTGGTAGCCGGGGAGGGCTTAAGTTTATAGCTACTTTGTTTTTTACTAGTTTGTTATTTTTTTGTTTTGTGTTACTCTTTTGTGGTTGTTAGTCTCCCTTACTGGAATTTGTAAGTCTCCTTTCTTGTTTGAGAGTCTTTTTAGGGTCGTTCCCCATGGAGGAGGAGCTTTTATGTTAAGGTGATTTCCCCATAGTTCGTTTCTTTCTGTCGTTTGATAATTAAAATGATTATTGTAACCAGCTGGTAACCGATTGTACCTCATTTGAAGGTTATATATTAGTATTTATCGTTTTGAGAAAAAAAAACTCTATCAATCTCAAAATTCTCTCTCCTACGAAATAACTTTATTTTCTCTTTCTAAATTCCCCTTGGTGGAAGAAGAAAAAAAGATTTTTTTTTCATCCTGCTGTCGATTAGTGGCTCGCTTCGTCCTTGATGTAGAGGATATACACGAAAGAGAATACGAACACAAGAACAGTTAACTGTTTTCTCAAAATGATAATACGATAACTGAAATCATCTGTTCACTGAGTGGGTACATATAAGAAGAGCCCACTACTCTTCAACTAGTCAAAATAAAAGCCCTCTTATTTAATTAACTACCACGCTAATAAAAATAACATAGCTGAAAATAATAATAGCTAAAAATCCATCAAATGACAAAGACCGTAAAATAAATAATCTAAACTCCGAGACGGTCATATTTCTGCAGAAATGCCAACGCGGCCTCGTCTCCATCAGTCCTCCAGCCATGGGATGGGTCGACGACAACCGTATGTTTTTTTGCTCAGCCGATCTTGTTGTGGATGGGTCGAAGACGATGGCACCTCTAGTGCGTCTTGTCGAGTTTGCTCCCCCGGCGTCTATTTCTCTCCTGACTGAAGGTTGTGGATGCTCTGATCTGGCTTGAGGCTCGTCTTCTCGCAAGATCTGACTAGACGCTTGAGTAAGTTCGCAGTTTTTGGTTCCATAGCCTCTGATTTGTTTATCTTAGTTTCTCGGTTGTGGGGATGCATCGCTATGGGGTTTGGTCGTGTGCTGGTTTGAGTGGCCATAGCGTGTGCTTGTGAAATGCATGGGAGGTAATATTCTATTGTTAGGTGCGTGTTGTAGTTTTTTTCTTGATTTTCTTTAGTTTGTTAGTATTCAATCCAGTTGTATCTAGTTTATTAGTCTCTTTTATAGAGTTTGTTTTTTTCTTCTTCTGTAGGAATGTGTTCGATTGTTCTTGTTACTCCCTTTTGTTGATCATGTAATTCTAATGGGGAGGTGGATCCATATTATGTTCTGTTCTAGTGATGTCAGTTAACATCTCAATTGTAATCTGTTTTGGAATTTTAATACAATTATTGTTCGAT